AATTTTTGCAATAAAATTATTTTAATTCGTTGAATGGAATTAATACAGAATCGTTTTGTTTGATTGTGAATGGTTTCTCTTTTGGTAAAGAAATATACATTTTGAACGTATTATTTAGGAAATTCTGATAATTGATTGATATACATTTTGCACGTCTCTTCATTGTTGGATGTTTATCCAAAGTTTCATGCTTTACTTGAGCATTTAATTTTGTGAACCTCTATAATTAAGTTCGTCTTTGATTAAGATGTGGGATTGATTCAACGACTACAATTCGTCAATTATGGGGGATGGGGGATGGGGGATGTGGGATGGTCAAACTTCAAACTCGCCCAGAAAATTGGGGCCATTGATCGAGCTGATAACCAAAAAATGAGGAAGAATAGCATTCGGCTCGAAATTAATGGATGCGTGCACGGAGTAGAAATCTCAAGGAGGCCACGTGAGTTAAATAATGGTAGGTATTAGTGCGGACATGAGTTAAGTCAATTGGTTAATGAGTTAAGTCAATTGGTTAAAGCAGTTAGTCTTAAATTCAAGTTTTCCTTAGTAAATTAGATTAATTTAGACTCTATTAATGATTACAATTAGATTAATTTAGAGTAATTTAGACTCTAATAATGATTGCCTAACCAACAAATTAGCACCGTCCAAGAAAATCGAATCAAGTGGCACCGTTTCCGGTTGCCATGTGTTCATGTTACGGTGCAGTGTAATTGAATGGCCCAGGAAGTTGGCTTTAAGGGGGATTGCCAGTGATCAATAAATGAGTTTGATTATTCATTTAGCATGTAGTCGACGACAGGGATAGATAAATAAACTATTGAGGATAATGTTGGGAATGAATTATTAGCGTGTTGGTTAATTAGGTCTCAAGCTAATCTAATTAGGCGCAAATATAGGGAATCAATTTGTTTGTCTGGTTCTGGTTCACCTTCGTTTGCCAATTCCATTTGCCTTCCTTCCTTCCAAGGAAGACATTATAAAATTCTATTTGCCAGATAGATGCGGTGAATTGTCTAGGTCTCTCTGCCTTGTTTATGTTAGTCTTGTGGCGATGACGAGTACAAGTTGTCCACTTGTTTCAACTCTCAAGAGCCAAACCCTAAAGCCAAAGCCAAGCAAAAGACAGAAGCATCAACATGGGCAGTGACGTGCTGATTCATTTACTGGGTTGACCCGACTTCTTTTTAATTTTATTTTTATGGGTTGGTTTGGTTGCAATGTGCAAATGAAGAAGAAACGCCAAGGCAACGTCATCCACACTTGAAGAGCTGCTGCTGCTGCATTGCATAATTGCATTTGCATAGGAAAACAATCATTGTGTTGTATTTCACAAGCATCTAATTGTTTCTCGAGTCACAGGGGTCGTATTATCTCACCATCTTTTATGATTCTATTGAAGAAAACAGAATGGTGGGATGGGAGATGGAGGGAGTGTGACGTTTGCCAATGCCACCCCACTACTACTCAAACTAGAAGGACACTGGACATTCTAACTTAAAAGAACAAAATGGCTATTGATTCACTAGAATTTGCACATCTCGACTCTCTGCTCCTTGTTCATCACATGATATGCTCTCTGTTCTAAAAATTATGCATATTCGTCGAGCAGAAGCAAAGAGACTCGAGAAGGAACAATTTTCGGGGGCAGGCTACGGGACTACTTTATTTTTCAAGGCTCTAGCTATTTCACACAGAAAATAGAGTTAAAAAAACCCCATACTATATGGATTCATTCCAAGATGACAACAGTGTAGAGCAGGAAGGGCAACAACAGTTGTCAGGCCAACCATACATAGGCTCATATTCACAAGCGGGTCATTGGGGGTAAAGCTTTCTCCAACACAGCTTACATACCACTAATCCACATATCTGAGTCACTTCCAGGTGAATGTTAATCAATTGTTGTTCCATCATCTAATGAGTAAAACTTTTCCAAGTTTTCAGAGTTTTTCTTTTCTCCTCCTTCTATCTGCTCAGCATTTCAATAGGGGATAAAATTATTTGATAACTAAAACTTCTACCTTGTAAATAAACTCAAACTTACAAATGCAGCAAGGATTCTTATTCTCCCCCATTTGTAATTGCTGCAGGCCACTGTCAGTCTGTCACTTACATCAACCTCATGCCACTGCCACATAGACTGCCAATATTTCTCCCACTTCCTTTGTTTAACCCTCGTAATCTAACTATAACATAGTGCAAAGTTCCTCTGGGTCTACATTAATCTACCCATTTGTCAAGGGACATTTCCTTCATAAAAGTTTCACATACCTTGAGCTAACAAACGCTTAGCTAATATTGATACGAGAGGATAAGGATTGGGTCTGTGTCCGAGGCAAGTAAATACAAAAACTACTTTAGACACCCAACTGCAAGATATTTGCTACTATGTTGAATCAGAAATCCCTGTTCTTCAAAACCAAAGTAAGAACTTCCTTAAGCTTTTCAGATGAAAGCTATCCAGCATATTGTCAGCTATGCCACTGAGTTCAGCTCAAACATAACTGCAAATAACAATCTCTAAGGCATATTCAATTCAACAGCCCTGAAGATCCTTGAAGTTCTATTTGCACAGTTGCACGATCAATACAAACTTGAGGTAGATAAAAAATATTTCCATGAGCAGCTGACTACCTAAACTCCAAAGAAGACATCTCTAAGCCCAAAATAGTATGAAAATACACATTGTAATATGCTTTTCACTGGCACATTAGTTTTCCAAACATCTTTTCAGAGAAAGACGACTCTCTAAGCCCAGAAGAGCATGAAAATAAGAGCGCATGCTAATATGCTTATCAACTTTCACAAACAATATGTCTGTAACCTAAAACCCTAAACCTTATCTGAACCCTCACGCCTTCAAGCAGAGTACTATTTGACACGACTTGTTCATCAGCACCTAACTCAATCATTTCCAAGCTATCCATATAGAAAACCTACCTCAACAATTCCCAAGCTATCCGTACAGAAAACATCAATAACAAAAACAAATAAAAATTCCCTACAGCATATAAACTCTATGAGCACAGAGGCAAATCAGGTTACTTAAAACTTGCCTACTGGATCTGAGTGATAAGAAAGTATAAAACTTACAACCAGAAAGATCAAATGCAAATGGTGTTTTAATTGTTTTGACCTAAACAACATTGAAAGACCCCTATCAATCAAAATACACGCTTCAACTCTTTGCAATGCATCATAACCCCTATATGCTTAAACAGTACAATGCAATTATAAACTAAACTTATGTAACATAACTGCGTTTTTTTTGTCACATGCTCCAATTGAACATACACATTAATTTGATCTCTCATTTATTCCTCCCCATGACAAAATTCCTCCTCAGAATCACAATCAATATCTTGATTCATTTTCCATAACAAAACATGTAACAAACACAACAACAAGAACTATTGAAAACAATAAAATTGAGCATCTTTAAGAAATTGAAGTGTAAACAGACACTAACCATCATTCCAAATCCATAAAAACATCCCCCTACAAACCCAATTTCTTTTCAAATTGAAGAAACAAGAGGGTTCATTTTAATTTTCCTTACTTGCCCATTGACGCAATCCAATCCACACCCGCACTGTGGGCACTCGTAAAAGTTGTCAATCGGAAACGCAGCAGAAGCGATCCCCACAGAGAATTCAAGATTGTCGCCGCTCCGAGTGACCTCGACGATGTTGAGCCACAAGAACAAGACCTTGACGCTAACCCCAGTGAGCCCAGAGAGCCTGTTCTTGGAGATAGAGCCACTGATGGTGGACTTATACTTGAGCTGGTACGACCCTTCCAATGCGAAACTGCAGGAACCGTTCAAATAAGCTCGGAATTGACCGTTGCTTCGGTCCAGTTCGTAACCAGTGACGCCCTTCGGGAGCAGACCCATCGGTAAGTCGAAGTCTTGGATGATATCGTACGCCGACCGTGAGTTATCGTTGCCGGCGGCGGCCGTTGATGACGTAGCGAACGGGGATAGGATGACGAAGAGGGCGAGAATGGCTGCGAGAGACGACATGGTTTGGGCTTTCGGATTTTCTCTCGCTTCTCTCTCTCCAAATTTTTTGTTGTTTTTGGTATTTTTCCGGGAATTGTTGTTGGTGGAGAGTTGGTTTGGCTTTGACTGACAGCGGTGGAGACGACGTATACAGTCTGAATACGACAATAATAGTTCTTCAAAAACGGCGACGTATGGATGAGTTTGTCTTCTTTTAGGTAGTCACGTGCTGTTGGCTTGGCAAAGGACGTGGGGACTTTTCTGTAATAAGAAAGCCAGGTTCACATTTCGAGGCTCTCCTCCAGAAAAAGGAAGGGGGGAAATAGTAATTTCCCACTGACGGTGACACATATTACTTTAAAAAGTCAAGCCCTTTGATCGTCTGTGTGGATCTCTGCAGCGGGTTAGGTAGGAGCGGAAAGTCGAATGAACAGAAATAGATTGGAGTTGGAGTTAGAGTTGGGCAGCAAAAATTACAACAGCCCAACACTGTACATCTTGAGGTCCATTTTATTTTTAATTACCCAACCACCTTTTTCTGCACGTTGATAACTACCCCTTCTTCTTTTTTTATTTTTCCTTTTTCATTTACCGCTTTCTCGCACATGATTTTTTTAGGTGCAAGACATTAGGGAGTTCATTGTTGATGTTTTAGACGTATCGACACTATCCCATTGTTAAGGAGGTGATTTATGCAATGATAACATGTTAATAACAAGACGTATCGACACTATCCCTCCTTTATGTCCACAAAGATAGAATGGAAAATGCAATTATTTGAGAAACAAAATAAAAAAAGTTCTTATAATTTAGGGTAAGTGGTATTGCTTGGGAGGAATATGCAATAAAAAGCTCAACAACCAGTCAAACCTGTATGGATGGCAAATGAGTACCATTGGTAATTCCTTACCTACCAAGCTTATAGTTATGGTACAGAAGCAACCACTATTTGCTTACTTGTGATGTTGTGAATGGTACAAACTCATGCAAATTATGGAAAACTCCGTCATATATTATAATGGTATTGTACATTTATTCTCCTATCATAGAGTCATGAAAGTTGGATACTAATATAATGTCATATCTAAACTGCATTCAGGCAATGAAAAATTGAAAACAAACTTAATTAAGCCGAGGACACTAAATTATTGATCTTAATCTTGCTTCCCTTCCCATTGACACAATCAAAACCGCAACCACAGGTTGGGCTCTCAACGAAATTACTGACCGGAAAGTCCGCGGAGCCGATGCCCACAGAGAACTCGAGCTCATCGTCGTCACGAATCACCTTGACGATGCTCAGCCACAGAAAGAGCACCTTCACTTTGATGCCACTCAAGCTCGAGATCTTGTCATCCGTTATCACACCGGTTATGGTGGACTTGTACTTCAACTTATAGGAGTCAATGGAAAAGGTACAAGTGCCATTCAAGTAGACTGAGAACTTACCTGTGGAATTGTTTAGTTCATAGCCCAATACGCCTTTGGGAAGAATGCCAACTGGGAAGTCATACTCTTCCAGGACTTGGTAAACTGTCAGCTCGTCGTTGACAGATGCAGATGGGGTTGAGAAGGAGACCAGAAGGAAGAGAGATAGGCAGAGCAGTGTTTCCTTTGGAGACATGGTTGATGAAGTTTTGACTGTTTGGTTATGCAGGCTCTAAACGGTAGATGGAAGTTGGAACCTATATATAGAGAAATTTGAAAGACAAAAACAAAGAATATTCCATTTGATTCGTTTGTGCATACATAATACATATTTAAATTGCACACAACAAAGCAGATCTTATATAGAGAGAACTAGCTCTGATGCTCTATTTGCGAAGCCCTCTTTTGCATATATAATATAATATACGGGAATGGGGACTCGAACTTAGGTAGGTGGAATACGGGATGGGCTCACTGTCGTGGCCAACTAACCTAATACATATGGGTTAGTTAGACTTGATAAGTGCTCTCACCGAATGTGATGGCACGGCGCCGCTACTCACCAACTGTTGACAAGCAAATCCACAGCCACACTGCGGGCTCTCCTCAAAGTTGTCGATTGAAAAGTCGGCTGAAACAATCCCCACGGAGAATTGTAGCTCATCGCCATTTCGAACCACTTCCACTATGTCGATCCAGAAGAAGAGCACCTTCACACTCACGCCCTTCAAATTTTTGAGCCTGTCTTTGGACAAAACACCAGTTATGGTGGATCTGTACCTGAGCTGATACGAGTTTTCAAGGGAGAAGCTGCAGGTTCCGTTGAAATACGCCTTGAAATTGCCGGTGTCCCTGTCTAGCTCGTAGCCTGTTACTCCTTTGGGAAGAAGGCCGATTGGGAAGTCATATTGTTGAAGCATCTCGTATGCTGATAGCGTGTCGTCGCCATAGGCAGAGGATGAGAGAATGATCAGGAGAAGTGCAGAGGGAAACACCATTAACGGAGATGTGGGCTTTCTTGTATGAGACTGAGAGAAGGAAGCCATGAATTCCCAGTCTTGAAGAAGCTTTGTGGGCGGTGTTTGGTTAGACGGAGAGTGAGTGAGGCGGGCAAACAGAGGAGAGGACATGTGTATTTATGGATTGGGGAAGTTCATCAGTTGTGGTGGTTGACTGGCTCAATGCTTCGCACATTCCATGCTTGAATATCCCTTTTATCCTTTGTTTGTACTGCGCTATTTTTGAAGCCTACATGGTGCCACGTACCGTGGGGGTTTAATTGGGCATGTCTTGATTGATGTTGCAGATGACATTTGGGAATTGGGTTTCATTCATGGCATGTTTATTAATCCGTAATTGAATTAGGGAAATTTGAATTGAAGAGGAATTTGATTGAGAAGAATTAGATTTCGGATTCCTATTGAAGTTGTTTACTAAACCATATGGATTGAGGGAAGTTTGATTCCAAATTCATATTGAAGTTGTTTACTAAACCATTTGGAATTGGGGATAAATGGTACTAATTACTCAAATGTCCTCATTGTTGGGTTAAAGTAGATGACAAATTTTAAATTTTAAATATTATATGAGGATATAATTGGTAAAAAAGACGAATTCCTGATGGATTCATTCTCCAGGAATTAGAATACTACCTCATACCCAAAAATTGAATTGAATTCCTGATTTTGTGTGGACAATTCCTTGATGTGAAGTAAACACAAGAATCCTTCAGATGCAGAATTCAATTCCTGATTAATAAACACATCATCATAGTTTTAAGTAACAAATGAGGATTTTGAAAGGTCACAAAATGAAATCTTGAAAGTTGAAACCAAGGTGTCTCTGTGCTGCAGACGCATGCAAGGTTGTCAGCAGATGGTGATCGGTGACGCCTCACACATAACGCTTGTGAAGCAGTCAATTAATGCATTGAAAAAAGGACAAGGTTAAAGAAAAAATCGCCCATGAAGTTGTAAAAATGGATTCAAATCAACACGAAAATATAATATAGTGGGGGATGGGCCAAATAGCAAGCTGTTCGAGAAGAGAACGGATTGGCAACTGGACCGCATAAACCAGAAATAGGCTGTCTTTGGGCGTCCGCGGAAAGGCTAGAATGAGGAGGTTGAGTGAGGAGGTTATTTGAGGAAGTGAAATCTCACCATCAACAACTAAAAACAAATGACATGGGGGGGATGCATTGGGGGGTCCACACCCCTTTTGATGGTGAGATGGGCCTCCTCAAATAACCTCCTCACATAGTCTCCTCATTATAGAAGCTCCCGGGCGTCCGAGGCTGTTGTTATCTCTCTGTCTAGAAGCGGCCCAGTTATTTTGAAATCAATCAATCATAAAGCTCATCGTTCATGTATATCTTATCAATCATTCTTCTTCTCTCCGTTATTGAATCTACCACCAGGTCCAGCCGACAAGGGGCGGTATGAATCACACCAAAACTTAAGCAAGTTGGCAAATGATCTTTCTTTACAACAACAAACTTATAAAAAATTGATACCCAGCTCTATGATAAAGAAAAATAACATCATCATCGATATCGTTTCTCAGTTTTGCCATTTTAAAATGGAATGCCAAATGGTGACGACAACAAAATTGTAAACAACATACTAAAGGAAATGCAAGCATAGAAGAATGCATAATTATAAGAACTATTTCTAGTGCAGATTATCAAAACTATTTCTAAGTGATGGTAAAGTGAGGAGCTTATTTGAGGAGGTGAAATCTCACCATCAACAACTAAAAACAAAGCACAGGGGGGGATGCATTGGGGGGTCCACACCCCTTTTGATGGTGAGATGGGCCTCCTCAAATAACCTCCTCACATAGTCTCCTCATTATAGAAGCTCCCGGGCGTCCGAGGCTGTTGTTATCTCTCTGTCTAGAAGCGGCCCAGTTATTTTGAAATCAATCAATCATAAAGCTCATCGTTCATGTATATCTTATCAATCATTCTTCTTCTCTCCGTTATTGAATCTACCACCAGGTCCAGCCGACAAGGGGCGGTATGAATCACACCAAAACTTAAGCAAGTTGGCAAATGATCTTTCTTTACAACAACAAACTTATAAAAAATTGATACCCAGCTCTATGATAAAGAAAAATAACATCATCATCGATATCGTTTCTCAGTTTTGCCATTTTAAAATGGAATGCCAAATGGTGACGACAACAAAATTGTAAACAACATACTAAAGGAAATGCAAGCATAGAAGAATGCATAATTATAAGAACTATTTCTAGTGCAGATTATCAAAACTATTTCTAAGTGATGGTAAGCAGAAACCATAAGAATTTTAAAGAGCAGTATAGGCCCCTCGCAGTCATAAACCTGTCAGCTAGTGTAAATAACCACCTATCTATTAGAACTAGAATATAAAAAGCAGCACATGAAACTTACAAACATACCAGGCCAATTATAATTTTTCTTGAGACAAAAGTTTTCACCCTTGCTGGATCTCCTAACCCCTCAAAACACCCATCCATCGATGTTATGCCATCTGCAAATAATATGTAGCAGGAAGAAAATCTTGCCATAAGATAGATTCAATAAAATTACCAAAGAACTCTCCCTCCAACTAAAATTCATCTCAAATATAAACACCTAGACATAACATATCAGTTAACAGAAACTGGCTCTGATGGTTAGTAAAACAGTTAGAAATAAACATAATCTATCAGAAGCTTAGTCACAATGTTATATAGATTGTAATGACTTTCTCTGAATTTAAGGTGATCTGAGGGAGTCCATCCTACACCGATAAAAGATTTTAAAAAAATCTATACAAGCACAAACCAAACATCAGGTCCCAGCCTTATGAGGCTTACATCTAATGCGCAAAATAGGGTAGATATTAGAACAACACCACCTATAGCAAGTGGTACTGGGAGTAGGATAAAGAGAGTCATGATTAGAAAACCAGCTTGCCCTCAGTTAAATCCATAAGTTTGACAAGTCTCATAAATTCCCATTCTCTTTCAAGACAAGCTTTAGTGAGGTTGCATGCATTTTACTTATGTACTCAACCAGCGGGAGAATTTCGAAGACATAATGCAAATTCTTCAACGACTTGAAAAAAAATCATCAATACAACAATAACCAATGAGTAACTATGAGCCTGATACATACAGAAGAATCTTTGCATATCCCATGATACATTCAGAAACAACAATTGGCATTGGCAAATAACAAAGTTAGGAACGAAAAAGCTATGAAATAATTCCAATCACAATCAACAAGGGTATTGTAAGGGAGGGGAAAAGGGGAAGGATCATACATACAGCTACGTAACAAATCAATTCACATCCTTGAGTCTTTTTATCAATGCATCTAGAGATTTCTTCTTTGGGTTCTGCCTGCCTCCCCGGCTCCCAAAAGTTCCAAATAGCCGCTCAGAAGGATCCCTCAATTTTTCTGAAATAGCCACTACTTTTCTGTAGTCCAAGGTATTGTAACTCCTCTCCCTGATTACCGGATTAAGAAAATTCTCTGGATGATTGCTTAAGAGTAAATTAATTAATTGCCTCAACTCAGCAAGTGCTGTTTTCAACTGATTTGCCTCCTCATCTGAGAGTAAAGGAGCTTGATTATCTGCAAAAGATTCCAACACCCGAACATCCACATCAATGCTCATAATTGCATGTACAGTAAACCTCTTAACTGCGTCCCCAAGTAAGGCCCCAACTATTTTCTCTGATATGTGAGAAAGGACATCCTGCAAAACTCGTTTAAGGACATGAGGAGGCAATATCTGCTGAGCAGTGGAAACCAGGGTTTCCAAGTATATGATCACCTCATTCACATATTCATTCCCATTCGGCAGAGGCTCATCGGCCATCCAGTTCACATTCTCAATCAACGTCATGAACCCATCCACTTTTTGTTTAAGCAACCCAGAGAGTATCTCTTCTGCTGCATCACGGGCTTTGCAAAGCGGAAAATGCCTCCGCCCCCTCTCCACCATTCTCAAGGGAATGCCAGAAAGCTGAGCAGCATGTCGAAAGAAGAAATCACAAGCTCGCTCCATGACCGCCATATTAGCCGCTACTTGCATTGCCTGGGAGACCCCATGGATAGACGTATTGATAAGCTTCAAAAGAGCCCCATCCAAAGCTTCACTTAACAATCGATCCAAATACTTCTTAACGACCTCAAAGAAATCAAGCTGCCCGCCATATGACATGAAACTCACAGAATCCTCAATAAAAGACCGTACAATGCGGCAACAATCAGGCA